CCGTCATGGAAAGTCACACTAGCTATTAACACCAAATCTTCATAAACCTTGCACACTAAACACTCATTCAGTAGAAAATAGAATGAAATTTGAGTCTTTATTGTTTTAGTATTTATGACGACGTGAAGAATTGGGATGAAAAAGGTTCAACTTCACAATATATATCTTTACTTTAATGCTCTATCTTATAACGGTTATTAGAGTAAGACAAAGGAAGTCACAAATGGAATATATCTATTTAATTATGACTTCCTCTGATATTATTTGTACCGGGTCGGACGCCCTCTAGTCATAACTTGCTGAAATTGGAATGACCTAGATAGAAGGGTTTAGGACCTAAGTTGCTCGAACTCTTCACTTTCAGTGTTGCACCCATGTCGACACTACGTGGGTGTGGGTGTGTGATCCGTACCGGATCTGTCAACCGATTTTGGGTACTTTGACCAAAATCGAAGGAGAAATTCGGGACATGATTTTTGAAATCAAAACAAAAGTTAGGGTGAAATTGAAGAAAACGAAATACCTTGTATATAGAAATTTTTATATCAGTCCTTTTCCTTTTATCTCCTCGGATTCTCCTCTTGATCAATATATTTTTCTTCTTAGAATACCTTTTAAGTTTTTCACATAATGTCTCATAATTTAGATATATCTTTATAACTCTATTTTTAGATATTTTTAGACGAATCCCCGCACACGTATCCGTGCCTGGATTCGTACCCCCGATTCATAAAATTTAGATCATGTAGAATCTGACCTTTAGATCCGCACCTGCATCGGACACCCGCACCCGAGTCCGAGCAACTTAGTTTTGGACTACTTGCAATAACGAGTAGTTCAAAATATGTTAGCTTTAGGACGCTACTTGAAGAATATAGAAGTCGATCAAGGTAAAGAAAGACGGTTTTCAGACATGTTATGTTATGATGGCAAGATCAGCTAAGTCTCAATAATTTTATTAAAAGTCATCGCTTCGCCACTTAGAACGACGAAACAATGCAAAGCGAGGAGTTATCGCTTCATGGCCATGCGCTTCAGAGAAGTGTGTGCTTCAAATAATGATGCACGAAATCATTATAACGAGATGCGGTCCATTTTTTGATTCAACTATGAGGAGTTGGATAATATCAACGTTATTATAGTACTAATCTATACATGTTTGGTATTTTTTAGTTTTCCGTAACTTGTGCACTTTACTTCAAAGAAGCATGTGCTTCACTTCTCGCTTTTCGCTTCAAACCTCATCGAACTTGTTGCTTCTTTGTGCTTTTCGATTTTAAAAGCACTAGAGCCTCATGGTTTAAGCTTGCTTGATGGTGAGATCACTACTTGATCAGTGATGAAAGTGGGCCACTCTTGTTGGTGTTTTCATATGGAAGTCTTCAAGATCAAAGGGCATGGAGCTAAGTCCTGCCTCGACGAATCTGCAATAATTCTTGAATGACACTCAAGGTTCCTCTTTAAGTGGATTTCTTCCTTTTCTCTTTGAGAGAAGACTTATTGGTCTTCTTCCAATGAGAAAAGGTAGTGAAGTAAATTCATAATACTTGATAATACAAAACTTAAGTATTTGGTCATTGTTTTCCGAGCTTAAAAAGGGATAGACTAGTAGGTGCTATGGAATTCAAAAGCAATTGAACTACCACTCGTTTTCCCTTTACCAACTCAGGGATCCCCTTCCTCTTTTACCATCCCCACTATCCACATAATGCACCGGGAGGATGTATTCCCACTGAATATCGCAATGCAGAAACTTTCCTGAATCTATGCACTCTACTCTTAAGGCACAGTCTCAACAGAACAAACAGAAACCAAAGCGTCATATTTAACTTCGTGGAACGAACTAACGCACCTTCCAGGTACCAATTGTGGTCCCCTAACTCAATCTCCAATACCAATCTTCCTTCATCCATATGGCTCAAATAATGCATGACTCTTTGGCCATTGACTTTAAATGTTCTACTCCCGTCATCAACTCCTAACTCCATAGCACCGCAGGGATAGACATTCACCACCTTGAATGATCTGGATCATTTGGACTTAGGTTTGCCCACGAACAACTTTAGTCTTGAGTTGTATAGAAGAACCATGTTCCCGGGTAAAACTCTCTATTCAAGATCTTCTTGTCATAGCGATATTTGTTATAGCACATCTTTACAGGAAAAGAGAACAGAATGCTTTTCTGTTTTTATCATTTTGACAGTAATAAAAACATTTCTGTTTTTAGAGAATCTTTACAGGAATGCCATCTTTTTATATAAGCCTAAAAATGGACTTGAATACAAGTACCATGACTATAATGTTCTTTCAAGCATCGATGATCAAGTTCATTAATATTATTTGGAGTCTTATCCTCAAAAGCTTAACTACCATAAGTATAATGTTACTTCAAGCATCAACGATAAGGCTGCTAATATGAATACCAAATTTAATCCTCAAAAGCTTAACTAAGTCATTGACCATGCATTTTATCAACTTCTTTGCTATTGGTCAATGTAAAAGAATTCCCTAATAGAACCATTATCACCTCATACGGACCATTCTCAAAGGATACTCGCACTTCTACGTCAACATAGGAAATCAAGGAAACTTGTGGTACAACAAACCTAGGACCAACTGTAGAGTGTTATATAACATTGTGTTATCACCATCACCAACTCAGCATTCTATATTACATTGTTCTAGATGTAACAAAGTTGCCTGTGACAGTGACCTTATCTGAATCACTCATGCCTGAAGCCATTGATGTTATGATTTCTTCACTGTCAAAACCTAAACCCGCTTTGCTACATCTAAATGTATTAGCAGCTTAACGTTAACCATCAAGACACTGCACCTTAAATCTCTGTGTTGATTAACAAAATGCAAGAGATTGCATATAGTTTCATTTTTCCTATTTGTAGAAAAAGTTTCAAAATGCTTCTTGAAGAACTATTTCTCCCAAATCTCTGTGTTGATTAACAAACATGCAACAGCTATTTAGTAGTTGGGAGGAAGCAACAACATGTAATAGTTGTATCAGAACTTATTCCACCCATGACCGAGCACTCAAGAGTAAAACTTGGATAACAAGAAAAGTCAAATGCTTAACATGATAAAGAAGTAACATAATTCATCTGTCTCTTCTCATGGATAAAACCTACATGTACTCTATAATAGCTAATGAATTATAAGCTTTCTCAAGTGATCACCTTCTTCATGCCATGCCAAGAGGAAGATCAGAAAATCGCGAGATTTGATAAGGAAGCTTGCTGCATCTAGGAGCAGGAGCCGGTGGAAGAGCCTGATAGGAAGAGCAGCAGAGGATCTGGTATGAGTTTCCGCTAAAACAGAAAACTTCCTTAATATTTTAATATCTGAATACGAAATATTTGAAACCAGATATAGACAAACCAGCATCAGAAGATTCAGTTGTAGGAAGCAAAGCTGTTGTAGGGCCACAGGGATTTGGATCCATCTGCTTGGTTCTTCCAAAGTAAATACCACTTGTCTCATCCTATCAGAAATGAAATCTTGTCAGTTACGTCACAACTTTATTGAAAAAGTTCACTGTTGTTTGGGAAATGTAAACATACTCTGACCTCCCACTGTTGAGGCATATTTGGCATTTGCTGCACCGGGGGGCTGTATGAGATCAATGTACATCAAAGGAATTAGAAATCTTCTGATTCACCAACTTCAACAACTAAAGTGATGCTTTCGCTACACAACTTCTTAGCAATAACTAGTTATCGTAGAAAGGCTATATCATGTTCGCTACTAAGCAATTGATCTCAAGTTACTAGACTGAAGGGCATGTAACAACAGCAGCCTCTTGCAAGAAACACGGAGAATTGGATACATCCAATGTAACGGCCATAACCTCGTTGCTAAACGCAACGGGGGCGTAATTTTGCCCAATTCCTCTCATTCCATTCCCTTAGTAACTAAAAAACAAAAATGTCACGAACAAGCAGAACAGATACAACATGGCCCCAAACTCTTTCCGTCCACATTGAAGTGAATAAGGCAAACACTGTAAAATAAATTAATTGCAGAAAAGTTGGTCCGAATTAGGAATAAACATAACATGTTACCTAGAAGCGGTTGCAGATGGCACCCTGTGACTCGCTTCGTCCACCTCAAGAATTCGTAACTTGGACGTCACTTCTTTGTCAGGCAACATAAAGTTGTTGCCTTGCTCTTGCATTTTTATCTTAGAGTCAGGATTAAAGCCCTGCATCGCAAGAGATATATTAGGTGCCATATAGTTAGGATAAAATGGTGGCATCACAAGGGAGAAATTAGAATCCATAAATTTAGGACCAAAAGATTGCAAAGTTAGGAGAAAATGATGGCATACAGAAGGGGTATAAGGTACCACATTGTCCATAGTCCGTGGAACCTGAAAATTTAAGAAAATCATGCATTCAGATTATAATTGTCACAGAAAAAATGATTTCAACTTAGAAAAGTTTAGCTAACACCTCAGCATTGGGTTCTTGGGCGTGCTCGGCCTGATTAGAGTTGAATATATCATAGAATACATCCCACCACTCAGCTAGAAATCCCACAGGAGAATTGACAGCTGAAACATATCCCACAATAAAATGATCAGTCACTTTGTTGTGCACATTTCTCTAAAATAAACAAGCAATTAATACAGTTTTAGAAACATGAAAAGCGTCTTACCATAAACAATTGAATTACTCTATTATTCAATTAAGCATAAGCTTTAATGAATTATGCTCGCTAATAAAGCAAAATTAAAAATCAGTTTCAACCCTAGAAAGATAGAGAGGACCATTATCAAAAATCAAATTACCAGCTTGTCTCGGATTAACATTAGCTTCCCTGGCCAATGCCTCAGCTGTTGTATTCATGCCTTTCTTAACTAAGTAATCATGGATGTAGATGTCAAGCCTGAAAATACACGAAAACTGAGTCATATAAATTTGTTTGGTATGATGTAAACTGTCATAGATTGGGTTGGATTTATATTCATTGGCGGATTAAAAAGAACATGACCCAAGTTAGCCATCTTAAAGATTGGGCCAATTTTTGCATAGCGCAAATTGACCATAAGAAACTTAAGAAAACATAGAAATATAAGTTTTTTTGTTTGATTAGTCAAAAAAAATAAAAGAAAAGATATTCCGTTTCAAATTAAACGAGTTATTTGCTTTTTAGTCTGTTCCAAAATAAACGACACATTTTTAAATTTGAAAATAATTCAACTTTAAACTCTTCATTTTACACATTTTACCCTTAATGAGAAGCTTTTATAACCACAAAAATGTCATGGCTACACAAAGTTTTTACACCTTAAGTTTTTAATACCACAAGTTTCAAATGTCTTTTTTTTTCTTAAACTTCGTGTCGAGTCAAACTAACTCATCTAAATTGAAACGGAAGGAGTATTAGTTTGATTTGGTAATTAAACAATTATAAAAAATGAATTGGGTTATGGCCGGTTGTTTAGTCCTAATTGACTCGCCAAGTTCTGATCCAAGCAATAATTGGACGGGTTATAAGCCAACTCATTTATTTACTAGACTCGTTTTAACCTGTCCATATATATATGCCCAACCTGCTCTTTTTAACACTAAATAAAAATTATTTTCTTTTATTTTATGCTCATTTCATATCACTTGCTTCAATCAATAGTCATGCAAATTTTTTTTTCAATTTTCATACTTTAAAATGATAAAATTCTCCAAAAAATTATTTTCCAAGACAAAGCCATTTTTACAGATTCTTTGATAAGAAAGGATTCCCCTCTGCATCGAACACATGAAATAAAGTATGCCTAAATATTATAAACATCATAAAAATGTAAACTTATAAACTCACATCTTCTGAGCATCCCATGAGTCCATGATCCCAAAAAACAAGCCTCACTTCAACAAAGAAAAGAAAGAAAGACCAGAAAAGGGAACAAAAAAAAGAGAGAAAGAGGAGAAAATGAGAGTGAGGGGTGAAATAAAAGGTGGTATATTAGTTTGTAGAGAAGTAATGTGACAATGCCATGCAAAAAAGCAAATGAAAGAGAAGGCAAAAACAAACAAAATATTGTATTGACTTGAGAAAAGAGTTAGAGACAAAAGGCACAAAAGAGAAGAGTTGACCATATGTATATATATCGGTGACAACAATGAAAAATAAAAGGGGGGGAGATCTACATTTTCATCGTTAAAATGGAAAAAAATTCATTATAAAGTTTATTTAAACAAACATAGGACATGTTAATAAAATAAACACCATATGCACTATCTTTTGTACAGGGCATTCAAACTGATAAAAAGTATTCTTGTTTTGTCTTCACAAATAAGATTTTCCTTAAAAAACAAAGAACTTTCTTTTTCAGCCAATTCACATTACACTTTTTCTCTTTATTTTTCTCTTTGAGATTTTTCCTTATATACCTTTTGTACAGTGCATAATTAATTGGATTACCTTTTATGCCTTCAATTTCCTGAAGCCATTGGACAATTGTAAAAGCTTCCAGAAAAAAAGTGTTGACAACTAAGGTGTTTGGGTAATTTTATTTTTCAGCAAATTGATTTGTTTAAAAGTATCTCAATACAACAATTTAAAAACGTTTTTAAATGTGTTTACAAACAAACATTTTCAAAAGGTAATTAGAGGATCTTGCATGCCACACACTTCAATTTATTCCTAGAAATTTCTTTCATTTCTTAACTCATGAGGGAAAAATTTAATACTCCCCCTATTTCAAAAAGAATAAACCTATTTTCGTTTTAGTCCAATTCAAAAAGAATGACTCATTTCTAAATTTTAAAATAATGTAACTTTAAACTTCTCATTTTACCCTTAATGAGATGATTTATAGTCACAAAATATCTATATATTGGTTTAGACCACAAGTTTCAAAAGTTTTTCATTTTTGCTTAAACTCAGTGCTCAATCAAATAGGTTCATTATTTTTTGAAATGGAGGGAGTATAATGAAAGTGAATTAGAGCAAAGTCACAAAACAATAATGGTGATTGAAGGTGTTAAAAGGGACAAGGTAAAGAAGTTGTTCCGGAAGACCTAAAAGCCCTTAAATTCCATTTAAACCTAGAGAAACATAGCATGGGAAAAAATAGATCTATGTCGGCGATACCAATTAGTTGGGATTAAATTTTGGTTATGCTACTACGCTAATGCTAGGTCCAATGCCTGCTAGGAGTCTTTAGTATTGTCAGAGACTTATATATTCATCGAAATGTGGAGAATATCTAGTGTTAGAGAAACTAATAACTAAAATATTGAAAAGAGACAAACTTAAATGGAGCGACATGGACACTGATAATTAATATACAATTACTAATTCCAACTTGCTTAGTATTGAGGCGTAATAATTTTTGTCGTAGAGCAAAGTCAAACAACATGAGAAGCCAATTCTTACAAGCAAAGGGGAACAATGCAATGCATGAATTCTTGTCCAAATATGAGTTTTTGTTGACAAAAGACAACAATTTTCATTGAAAGACCCCGCTCAAACCAAAAGAGCAAGTGAATCTATTAAATATGTGGTAATCCAAGTGTGAGACTTTTGCACAAGACAATTACCCCATTAATTTTGTATTGATCCCCTTTCAGTGATTGACAAATTTCACCATCTATTTTTTGCACTGAATTCCATGCTAAGACATCAGCAAGTCATCACTTCATAAATATTTTAGAGTAAATTATAAACTCCTCACCAAAAACAACCCTCCTTTTTATTTTTATTTGAATGGGGTTAACAAACATTTCAGTCAAGTATAACTGTATAAGGGTATTAGATAAATTTAAACCATTAGAGATTTTGTGACGACTCAACGAAGAACAAATCATAAATGGATGATCTAAATTAGATATGAATTTAATTTTTCTCTTTTATGTCAATTCCCTGAAGTCATGAATTGAGCTTTAAGCTCGACATTATGATACTGCATTATATGATGGCGCCTATCAATACAACTTGTGTCACGGCTCAAATCTTACATGTCGTGATGGCACCTATCGGAATACTAGACAAGCCGACAACTCACAAACAACAGGCACCTTTAATTTAAAACATACTAAAATAGGTTTAAGTAAATAAAATCTCATAATAACTGGAAGAAAAATACCGCAACTCAATACAGAATTTTCCAAAATTCGGGGTGCAGTCACTAAGTACATGAGCATCTATACAATAATATGATTCGACTGTCGAAACACTGTCTAGGAAAGTAGAACAGTATAAACGAAACTAAAAGAAAAATGAGGAGAGTCAAGGTCTGTGGACGCCAAGGCAGCTACCTCGATAGTTTTAGAACTTAATAAGCTCCAACACTAGCAACCTTCATGCCCGGAAGTACCTGGATCTGCACACGAAGTGTAGAGTGTAGTATGAGTACAATTGACTCAATGTACTCAATAAGTATCGTAAATAAACATGGCAAGGTAAGAGAAGCATAAATAACCGCGTGTACATCATAAATAAACACTGGTCGGATTATCTCAACTTTCCATATCCGTTCCAAATCATTGATCAGTATTCTCAATAACCACGTGTACACCATCAAGGGAGAAACATGAGAGGATGACTCTAAAGGGATGGATCTGTATCTACATGCTGTACGGACAACTCAC